GCGGGACAGAGAACAAGAGAGTGTCTTTAGGTGTAGCTGAGTCACCATTACACCAACAGCAAAGGCAAAAAGGTAAGCTAACAGGAGGAATCACAGTACCTCACACATCAACACACTTCAGGGGAAAAAAGAAAGGGAAGAAATCACAAGCCAGCAAGAGAAGAACACCTCTTCTAGTCTACACATCACCGAACATGGGACATTTCATGGGCTGGGTGTTCAGGCACACTTCTTGCTGGGTCCTGTTGGGTACTGACAGCCCAACAGGGATTTGGAATCAGACCACAGTATTCCCAAGACAAAAGGATAATATGAAGCCTCTGAGACGGAAAATGTCCTGGAGAAACAGAGCAAGTCCCCCCCACTTGATCCCCAGATCTGTACAAAAGGGACAGACACCTCTGAGAAGTTCCGGTGAAATGATGTGCCACCTCTATTTGCTCTTGGCACTTTTCTAATGGGTAGTCAACTCGTTCACCTTAACAGGCAGTATCTACCTGTCGCATGCAATTAAAATGCAAACTGCCTTGAATGACCATGTGAGGGACCAGCAGAAACCAGTCAGAGCCTGGAGAGAGGAAGAGATCTTTAGAGGTTGGAAGGTTGTCCTGGGAAGCACATGTAACTTTGAAAAACAGTAGTGGGCAATTCTATAGACTGTTTAGCTCCGGTGCCCACTTTGCATGAACTGTCTCAGCTACTTTCTACAAAGTTCACTGCATCTAGGAAGTTCTCCTCCCACTGAGGACTCACACCCTATAACCTATGCTTAAATAACCTCCTTGGGTCTGGCTACTACTGCAACCCATTACCACGTGGATTTAAAAAAAAAAACCCTAAGTAACAAAATGCAAAATGTTTCACTCAGCATGACTTCAGCATAACTGCTTAGCAGGTTCCTACAAATTTAGCATTTACTTGCTGTTGTGATTGCTATTTAAAAACTTTTCCTAAGAAAAGATGAAGATACATGGAAAATACATGGGTTCCTCGTGCTGGGTGAGCCACAGCTTGTGTCACCTCCAGCTAGTCTGCTGGCCCATGCTGGGCTGGGTGTGCTTAACGCAGCCCCTTTTGTACGTGCCATTGGTGCATCTTTGGCTGGAATAGAAAAGGTGGAGAAGGAACCCAAACGCTGGGAGTTCAGGCTTCAGGTTAGGCAAATACAGAAGATAAAATGGTGTTTATGCTGGGGTCTTCATGTCACCCGCAGGAATGAGCCTGACAGCTCTCCCTTCCACTGGCACCTTGACAGTGGGATCACAAAGTGCTTTGCACATCTATCACCTGCATAATTGCCCCTTTTCCCCCCTCCTCCATTCTCGCCATCAAGGAAGCTGCACCAATGGTTTGTTCTAAAGACCCGTCGGTCTGTCCGTCGCCCAGTTCAAGAGGCTGAGTGGTTTAAATGTTGTACGAAACAGAGGGTCTTAAAGACAACGCTGAGCAAACTGAACAAACCCAGAAACTCACCTCCAGAAACAACAAAGCAAGGAAAACGCTAAACAGAAAACAAACAAAAAAGAATATTTGACAAAAATAAGAATGAAACAATGGGCTCAAATTAAAACGCAGTAACAGTTAAACAGATATTCTGTTTTAAACCAAACATTGCAACAATGACAAAAACAATGTACCATCCTAGCTTTTAATCCTGAAAAAACACAAAACAAAAAGGCCCCTTCAGGATAGAGTTCACCAGGTGAAAAACCAAACTATGGTTGGACAAATCTCTTCGCTTTAAGTCCCGTTGGTGGAGCAGAAGACAAACCATCGAAATTCTGGGAGATGGATGAGGTAGGAGCTACAAACCGAGTGCAGGTAGAATACTGTAATAAAGCACTTTGAGTCAGTTGCAAGATATCTTGATGTCACTGTACTAATGAGTGTATTATTAAAACAGATTCCCATGACACCGTAGCATCTATCCACCACAAAACAATTCATGGCTCACGCAACAGCCTATTGCACGCGTAAGGGGCAAGGTACCTGTTCGGACCCTCCAAGCAGGTTGACACTCTTAAGCAACCAAGTTTCTTAGGTCTAGGAAATCACATTGTGCAACTGATGTAATGAATTGAACTTTTCCTGAAGCTCAGTTATGAAGGGAGGCTGGAATGGCAGAGGAGAGCAGAACCGGTGCAGATACACCGGCGGCACAGGAGCGTACAAACCACAAGTGCACGCCGTATTCACATGGGAAAAATGCTGGAGCTGGAGGAGCAGACAGGACATTGCAGAGTATGCAACGGCTTGGAAGGAGGCTGAGGGGAAGATGCACACTCTCAGTCCTTGATGTAGGGCTGACAAGGGAAAGAAGCAAAAGAGCAAGCCCAGAGCCTTGCTGGTGAAACAGCAGAACAACCGATATGCCTTTTCACCAGACTCAGCCCCAGGACAGCTTTATCACCTCTGTGGGAGGTAGACAAGCATGCCATGAACATAAACATCATGGCTAAGGAAATGCAAGTCATGGTACCCTCTGCTAGCATCTATTTTGAATGATGTAGGCAGAAAAAAATGTTGACGTTTTCAGAACACTGTGATCCATGTTATAGATGCCTGTTGTTAAATTCGTTTTTATACATTGTGGAAACAAAATCCAATTCTAAAACTCAAAAATTATTCCTTAGGATAAAATAAAAATATAAACTGATAGGCTAGACCCACCTTTGCAGCAGGTAGCTCAGTCCTAGGTTTTTCCAAGCCTCTGCCCACCACTCATTTTGGGGTACCCAACCTCTACAAGCATTTGCTTTTTGTAGTGAGATTTCCATATGCCAAAAATCCCATTTCCAAGCATCCCTAGTACTTTTTCATTCTCAGCATGTCCAGCTCTGGATTTCCTCAGAGGGTTCATCTGACAGGTCTTGCCATCAACACAGCATTTGCTCCACCTGCAGGACCACTGTGTAACTTAAGACCATAACAAATGAATAATGGGGTACATGTGGCTGTCAGCCATGAGTCCCTACCATCAGCCCTACTGTGTTGGATAGAGATATCCAAGGGATAAGTGCTGCAAGCCTAAAAGCCCCTCTGGAGTTCACTATGGATGTATTTATGTATTAAACAAATTGCTTTGGATTGCCTTTATTAAATATCTTTTGGATCATCAGCCAACAATCCATCCATACATCTATTTCTCTCTGGTAAAACACCTAGCTTCTCCCTTGATGACCCATCCATTTGGTCAGCAACCTACTGACGTTTACACATTCTTTTCCCAAACTAAAGTCCTGCCAGCTTTGAGAATGGCCTTGTAAGCACCTCGCTGGCACTGAAATAGAGACAGCAAGAAGTCGTGCAACGGTTGTTCGATGACAGCTCCCACACAGCACGCACGACGTTGCCGCCGTTAGTAGACGTGGAAGCGATTGACTGCACTTTCAGATGTGTTCATTTGTAAAGCTAATTATCTGCCTGTACAAATGTGGCAGGCAGGGATCTGGGCAGACACAATTTGAGGCAAAATAAGCAGAAATCCGCAATTTTTTACTCACTTTCAATTGTGGTCACAAAACTGGCCCTGCGATATTGAAAACCAGGTGAAAGCCTGGTGACAATCATGGGATAAGGTTATTTTAAGTAACCAGCAAGACGGTGTGGAATCTCAGCTCCATTAAAGTGTGAGGTTTTTTTCTCATTTCTAAGAAATCTTCACATGCACTATTACTTTGATTAAAGAAGAAAAAAAATAAGCATCATTATCTTGCATTTTAAAATAACAGTACCAGGGAATTCATCAAAGAACAAGAGCAAATATCCTCATTTGACTTCTTTTTGAGACTGGACAGGAAATCATTTTAAGAAAAGGATTATATCCAAAACCAACAAACAGATGTGGCATAAATAGGAGGTTGATTAAAGCAGTAATTGCAAAAGAAGTTGTAAGAATAATAAAACAGTCAAATTAATATTATTTTCCCTCACATACAATGAAGTGGCTTCATTTGGCTTATTGCCTTTGATGCAGTGGATGAAACTCCCACTAACAAGGGTCTCAAGAGATTTACACTGAAGGAACAAACAGGGATCCTGCTGTATTTCAGATACTTCGGAATAAAAGTGAACAGGAAACTTATTTTTCTATACTTGAGCTTCTCCAGGCTTTGGAGGTCTTCCCTGCAAAATATCAGCTGGATCTCAGTAACACGCAGGACCAAAATTTTGATGCTGGAAATCCTGATGCTAAAATTCCAGAAGAGGCCAATGAACCTTTAAGAACATGCTTTTAAATCCATTCAAGTTAGGCGTGTCTCAAACACAAGCCCATAACCCCATGCAGGCAGAACTCCGCGCTGACCTCAGCAACACCTAGACAAGTATTTCCACCTATATATCAATTTCTCACTTCAGTTTAGATCCATGTATATGGAAAGGTGGGCCCCGAGGCAACATTTTCTAAGGATTCTGGTATTACAGAATCTGTGCATATGCCCACATCCATGCAGAAAAGCCTGTATCTGAAAATGCAGACTGATGTTTCTAGCTGCAAACCAATGACTGCATACGTGATTCTATTCAACCCAGCACTCTTTCAAACAGCAAAGAGCATTCAAGCATATTTTTCAGTTTGATGTTTAGGAGGATGCTTTTACACTTAAATTATCAAAGCAGGGATCATTAAAGAATAGATAACACATTATGTGCACACATACCTCTCGTAATTAAAAATCCAAAGTGAAATGTTAACACTTCACCTGGTGAAATCTATCCTAGGACAGCTTAAAAAAATCCTTTTAAAATATGGTTATTTATAGCAAGGCAAAAGATGAGGCATTACAAAGAAAAACAAACTAAAATAAATACTTCATTAAATTCACGGCTAAGCAATCAGCGCTGAAGTATTCCATCAACCTAAAGCCCTGTCAGTAACAGAGATGGTAGAAAACGGCTCACAGAGTACAATGGGATGCTCCACTTGAACAGACATACCAACACTGAAAAACGGAAATGAAATTATAAAGTTCCCAAATAATTAATAAAATAATGCTTACGCGGCTATGGAAATGTTAGCTGCAGACATGGGGCTGACTTCTGCCACTTCCTTGGCTTTTTGCAGGGCAAGCTTTTGGTTGGTGGCTTCCTCCATCTCTTCCTCATCCTAGTGCAGAAAATCAAGAGAAATCAGAGCATGCATCGTGTCACGACAATAACCAGAGCTCCCCAAGGCACAAGTCACATGTGACTGTCACTGCTGCGCCGTGAGAACAGTGGAAACGCATCAAAATGAGGCAGAATTTCATAACTTTTTGCAAGGACCCCTGCGTAGGGCCTTGGTGCCAGAAACAGCTGGTTGAGATGAGAAATGCAAGGTTTGGTCAAGTGCTCGGTGCATTTTTACCAAGAACACTTCTCCCTTGGAAACGTTTCTTACCTCTCTTGGGCCTCGTATCAACTAGAATAGGAGACGATGGCAGAGCCAGGACAGACCAGACCACAATGTGACATTTCTGGGGTGAAGTGATCCCCACTTATCTCTGACCTGTCTAACACTCCAAAGCCTATGTCCTACTGAAACATATGAGACAGACTCCTAAATCCTGCCTGACGTGTGGCCAGTGTGACTTTTCTGAAACAGGAAGTTTCAGGATTTGACTGGACCTGCTCACACCAGTTTTATCCCAGATATTTCCACTTATTTCAGTGGAATCACAGAGGACTTACAGGGTGAAAAGAGAAAGGAGGAGCCATATTAATGCACAGTCTGTAGACTCAAGCATAGGTCAGAAAGATGGTTATGTTCGAACTTTCTGCATATCCTCAGATGGTGTGGATTTTTAACCTCTTGCTATTACAAGTTCCTGCAGAGCATAACTGTGATTTATTTCCTCCTACGTGGTGTAAGGACAAGAGAAATACTGCTCAAATTCAAACTACAGGATCTTAAGCAATAAGTTGAGGGTAAAAGGCAAAGAAACAGCCTGGTTCATCTTCAACAGTCATCTAGGTTAAACTTCTTTTGAACTTTCTAGCTAGTCAAATTAGACAAAAATCATGGCAGGATAAACACAGACCCTCTGATGGCAATGTCACATATTCAAGGAATAACCACATGCTAAGACAAGAGCAGTCACAGGCTCTTCTGTCAAACTTTACGAAACGCCATGGGTCTACATCTGCTCTTCAAAGGTAATGCTGTGAAAGAGTTATGCTTAAAATAATGAAAGCAGTCGGAAAGACATCTAGCTTTGAAATAGGATGCCATATAGATTTATTCATCCTGAATACCATATGCATAAACAATTCCTTGCTCTGACTTTGGTGTTATTTTCTTAAACTGAACTAATTTTTAAACTGTTTTCCTCTTCTACTTTCAAAGAAAATGAAATTATAGGAAACTAATAGTAAAAAAAAGAATTGCTACCAATAAAACTACTCTTTTTTTTTTTTCCTTTTCAAATATTAGCAAATCCATTACAAGTGAATTTCTACTGTAGTGAATGAAGAACCTGAGACAGGCTA